GGTCCCCCCCCCCCCCCCCCCCCGCCCCGACCCGGCCCCAAGAGAGCAATCAGCCCAGCCTGGCACCAGGCGCCCCTCCCCCTCCCTCTCCCCAGCCCGAAACCAGAGCTGGCGCCACTGGGTGAGGAATCTGGGGACCAACTGTCACAGCTCCGGTGTCACCCGCCTCCCGGACGCCGGGGTCCAGCCCTGAGTCCCAGAGGGGCCCTGTCAGCCAGCTGTCCTGGGGGACCCTGGCTCCACCCCGGCCTCTCTGAGTTGCTCTCCCTAGGGAAATCAGAGAGTGCAGGGGACCTGCTGGGGGGTGCTGGAGTGGGCGCTGGGGAAGGGCAGGGGCCTCTGTCCAGGCCAAACCTCAAGCTGGGCATCAGAGCCCTTGGAGACGGGTCCATGACAGCGGACGGACCTGTAGGGGCCTCCTCTCTTCTCCGTCCCCGTAGCCCTCCAAGGCCCAAAGACCGTCCTGCCCTCACATGCAATCCTGTTTGACCATGTTCTCTGAGTCACATAGGCTAGTTTCTGTGTCTTGCTGACAGCAGAGATCAAATCTGGTATTTCTTTTGTGTGTCCTACAGAATTTTACTTAATACATTCTAAGGGAAATTAATTCATTGTTCCAGCAACAGAGGGAAAACTGGCTGCACTGTCAGCAGGAAACACGGTGTTTAGATAGGTTCCCAGGAGGAGGGGTGTTAGGAAAAGAAAATGGAGACCCCGTAACACATAGGAGAGGAGGCTCCTCTGATGAGGACAGATGGAGAGGACGGGGGAGGTGGCTAAGAGGACCTCCATAAGGGCCAGCCAACTTGGTGGGGCAGCCTCCCTGGGGCTCTGGGAGTAGGGCATGGGGGGGGAGGTGCGCAAGAGCTAGGTATGTGCCCCATCACTTGGTACTTGGACAGGTGGTGACAAAGGGTGCCCACGTTTGCCCAGAAAAGAGAAGGGAGGTGCCTGGGTGGCTCGGTTAGTTAAGTGTCCGACTCTTGATTTCAGCTCAGGTCACGATCTCATGGTTCATGAGTTCGAGAGTTCATGAGTGGGCTCCACACCGACAGTGCAGAGCCTGCTTGGGATTCTCTCTCTCTCTCCCTCTCTCTCTGCCACCCCAGCCCCAACGGCACTCTCTATCTCTCTCTCAAAATAAATAAATACACTTACAAAAAAAAAAAAAAGAGAGAGAGAGAGAGAGAGAGAGAGAGAGAGAAGAGAAGGGACAGAGCTCCATACACAGACAAGCACGGTCTGCATCACCCTACCCCACTGCTCTCCTGAGCCTCCACACAAACCCAGGGCCACGCTGCTGTCCTGCCGTGTTTCGTAGCCAGACCTGTGTGCACACAGGGAGACACACACAGATACACCTGGACTGAGCCACGCACGGCACACACAGCCAACTCAACAGCTCCACGGGGGCCTTTGTTCCTCAGGCCCGCGGCTAGAAGCCTGCCCGCGCCGGCCACGGAGACAGAATTCGCTTGCATCCCAGCACTCGACAGGAATTATTTTTGGAATTATCTGCTGGTTGTTTGGGATAATCTTTTTTTCTACGAGGCCAGATCTAGAACTGGCTTTGAGTGACTCACAGTGGGTCAGGATCTCCTCCAGGGCCTGGCACATCCTAAGAGCTCAAAAGGAAGTAGTTAGCTGAAAGGAGGAATGAATGAAAATTAATTAACGAAGAGCGCAATCTAGCCAAAGTCCACTGCGAGGAGAGAACAACAGGGCCAGAGCGCTAACATGGGCCCAACACTTATCTTGAGTCAGGCACTGCGCTGGGGGCTTGTTTTTCCATTTCAGAGACGAGGAAACCAAGGCTCGGCAGCACCCGACTACTCAGGAAGCATGTCTGCCTCCAGAGGATTGCTCCTTCCTCTCACACCATGAAACTTCGAATATGCAGTTAACTGGACACCCTCTTACTGAGCTTCTGCTCTGGGCAGGGCTGCGTGCTGGGCACTGGGGGGCCAGGGAGGGGGACAATGACCAAGAGGAAAGACAGCGCTGTCCTTTAAGGCCTTGGAGTGGAGAGCTACGCCGTGCACACGCCGTTCTGGTCCCAGGCAGACAGCGAGGGGCGGGGTGGGGTCGGCACGGCCGTCTATTTCCAAGCAAAACTGTTTAAGTTAAGGCCTTCGGCCCGAATTCTGCAGCTGGCAGGCAGGCGGAAAGAGGAAGGGCCCTGGACAGAAACCTAGCTTGTCCAATACAAGTGTCAGTGGAAGAGGGGAGTCCCCTGAACAAAGGAGGCCATCAGCGTCTGGGAGCAAGAGAAGGACTCAGCCAAACCCCGCCCCATGAAAACTCTGCCGCCTGGGCAGTCTGGTGGTCCCCACTGTGGGTGGACATACCCCAGACCATCTGCAGGCACACGGTCCTGCGCGTGACCCAAGTGCCACTCGTGCACGCACCCTGCCCTCCAGGGGCACACGGTCACTTGGCCTCTCCTGCCTCGGTTATCTGTCTGGAGTCTCAGTGGGACCCTGAGGGCGACCCGTGGCGCACTAACACACCCAGGGCGGTGGGGGGGGGGGGGGGAGGGGAGACCTGACTTGTCTTTGTCGGCTCAGTGAGGTGGGTCCAGCAGGGGCCTCCGCCTCCCCTGCCCCACTCCTCACTCTACCCTTCCTGTTCAGCGGCTGCCCCCTCCCCGCACACACACACACACACACACACACACACACACTTGTTTCTGTCCTTTGTTTTCCACCCGGGCCAAATCCCCGGGGCTTCTTTGGTCATTAACCTCCTGCTTTAATTAGCTTAGTGGGGAAGCAGAGCAAATTCAGGGGTGGGTGTCAAGGGGGAATCTCATTTCGGTGGGGACAGGAAGGCTCGGAGCAGCTGGTGACAAAAATGCCTGGCACACAATAAGTCCTATACAAGTGTGTGCTATTTCTATTAATGTGAAAAACAGTCACCTGGTCCACAGAGCAGGAGCCTCCCCCCACGAGAGGGCCCCACGGGCCCCCAGGAGCACAGGTGGCCCAATCCACGTTCCTGGGGCAGAAGGAGAGGGGACAAGAGCCTACCTCTCCACTCCCTCTGCCGCTCAAGCCCTAAAGCTTGCTGTTAATGTTCGGTCAAATCCCCAGCGCAGGGGGCACCAACTCTGGGGCCCTCCAGGGGTGCCTGGCCATGGTTCCCCTCCCTTTGATCTTCTGCTGATCAGGAGCAAGAACCCTGCCCCTCCTGGGATCCTCCACTCTGGCCCCCAGCCTCCCGCTGTTCAAATCTCCTCTTTCCAAGAACCAGCTGAGGGAACTGGGCTTCACCGCCCGGCCCTCAAGGCCTCACAGTGGCAGCTCTGTGAGGTCACCTCATCTCTCTGTTCCCCGCCTCCAGGCAGGACTTCACCTCACAACCCAGTTCAGAGTTTGGGTTTCCAAGGCCCTGCAGAAAAGGACACCTTCCCACTGTAGCTCACCCCCACCCATTCTCACGAAACGATTTTGGGAAGTTCTTCTGAAAGTCCAACCTCAAGCCCTCGGGCTGCAGTGCCCCGTCTCTCCCCTTGGGAAGGGCCCAGGCATAAGAAGGGAGACAAAAGAAATGCTGGAGAGGCGGCGTAGGGAGGGAAAAGGTCGCAGTACACCCCGACTTGCCCCAACTCCCTCTAGAAGTACCCAGCTGTCCAATTCACGCCTTAAAAACTTATTTTTACTTTCACCGAACGTCCAGAGTGCAAGGAGCCGAATTAACGGGCTCGGGGGTGGGGGTGGGGGCAAGTGCAATGACGGTGGAGGCCCGAGAACAGATCACCCCCAAGGCGTCTGCGGGGCCCGGGCCCGAAGGAAGTTCCAGTCCCGAGCGCACCCCCGTCTCTCCTCCCTCCTTGGGCCGCGGCCGAAGCCCGGGGCTCTCCCCCGAAACTGTTAAGTCACTTCTCGCGTCCAA